TCTAGGGTCAGCGGTTTTCTCTTCTCTATCTTGTTGTGTGTTTTTTGATGGGCCGACCAAGGGGCATGGCGCACTGCCTACCCCCGAGACCGAAAATAACTAGACTTACGGGGTAGGGGCCCGGAGCGCGGGGCGCCGGCGGCCGTCAAGGGCTCGAGGCCGAGAAGTCGATGTGCGGCGTTGATTTTGGCGTGAGGCGCGTTGGATTGATGGCGTGGCCAAGCCCGGACGCACGAGAGCCACAGGTCGCGAGTCTTGTTGCCGGCCGACAGCATGTGAAGCGGTACCGAGAACGAGGGCTGCGCTGCAGCAGTTGTCTCGCATGCCGTAAAGACCGCGGTCATAATCTTCGTAACAGTGTCGTAGATCCCGGTGAGGCGCTGTGGGCGAGCGAGGGTGCCTTCTTGTCGAAAAACGCGGGTCGTGACGATAGAGAGGAAACGCCCGGGCGTCTTAGGGTGTCAGGGTAGCGCAGCGTGTGGAGCCCCGTTGCCGCGGAGCATCTCGCTCGGCGGTTCGATAGAGAGCACGAACAGAAGCGGCGACAGGGGCACCACTGCTTGACGCTGCGGTCTGACCGAATCAGCTGCGGTCTGACCAAATCAGCGGCGCTCTGAAGCCGCTGATGAGGGATACAAGTTGGGGCCTATACAATGCGGTTGAACGCCTCGGAGAAGTCGAGAAATGTCGCGAGGCCGTCGTCTTTGGGGTTGGCCGAGACGTGAGTTTGAAGCAACTCGAAAAGGTACAAATATCGCGGATGCGCCGTCCACAAACAAAGCCAGACTGCATCGGCTGGATGAGCGACGACAGTACGGCAGCCATGCGGTGTGCCATAGCGCGTGCGAGGATATTGACTGCGACCGACATGAGCGTGATCGGCCGGTAGTTACTTGGCACCTCGCGGTCCCCGCTCTTGAACAGCATGATGACGGCCGACTCGCGGTGGCAGCGTAACATCTGGTTCCGTGCAAGCTGCGCTTCAAAGACGAGTCGCAGCAGGCGGCCAAAGAGGTCGGGGTCCAGCTTTAAATACTCGGCCGGGAAGCTGTCGAGTCCAGCCGCTGGCGCACATCGTTCAGATGACCGATGCAAAGTCGGCGTCGGACAAGGGCGCTGCCAAGGCCGCCTCCTGGTCGTCCGTGAGATGGCGCCGGAGAATCTCGAGTGAGATGACGGCGCTGCGCGCGATTGGGAGCGGCACCATCGCCTCGTGTAAACACGGATTGTCATTGCTGCTGAAATACGCGTGCGACCGCGTCGGCCCCCGTGACCCGAAGCCAAGTGGCGTTGACAGCTGCGTTGATCGAGACGCTTGGCATGGGCACGCGGGGCAGCGTGATGAAGGCCGATGACGACCTCTACATGGCAGTCAGTTGGACGTTGAACCGACGGTCGCGTGCTTCGGGCTTCTTCTGCATCATCGTGTAAAGTGCGGACCATGCCGACGTCTGCGTCCGAGAGGAGGCCAGCTGCGTGGCGAAATTGTGCTTGTGTCAGGCGCTTGTCCGCTGCGCATCGCTCTTAAAGCTGGCCGTAGTGGCGATGCCGTTAAACTTGTTCTTGCACAAGATCCTACCGGTACCCGCATCCGGATAAAGATCGACGTCTATCCGTACGCAAGCCAGCACAAACGTGAACGCAAACAAATCCACTGGAACCAGGATGGCGGACCCCGCCACCTTCGCCAAGCCCAAGGCGGTCGAGAGCTGGGCCGAGAAGGTCAGGCCCAAGGCGGCCGAGAGCTGGGCAGAGAAGGCCAAACCTAAGGCGAAAATGCTCCAGAAGGTGCACCTCCTCCCTTCGGACGCCGACCTTGCTCGTCTTCGGGCTCTCCGCTTGGACCCGAACGTCTCGATCGAGGAGCGCGTCGCAGCGGCCGCGGCCGCACGCCCGTACCAGTACCGCCCCGCCGTTGCCGCCGTCGAAATCCTACTTCCGCGTAACCATACCCCGAAGGCCACATTCGGTACGCTCACCGATGCCGTGTTCAACTGCGCCCAGTCGGACGTCGTGGCATCGCTCATCCTCGACGTCGTCTCGGTCTCCGTGAAGGGCCGCACCGTCGTGCTCGGTCTCGCGACGAGAGAGGCCCAACGGCTCATGGACAAGCAGCTTTTAAACCTCGGCGCGCTTGGCGAGCACCCGATGCGTCAGTCGACCGCGCTGTAGATCATATTGAAAGCACGCATGTGGGAGCACTTGAACTGCCAGACGCGCTTGCCATATAGATGAGATGAATCGCACATTCCTATTAATAGTGAAATCATTATCGAGCTAAAAGAAGTTGGCAAGCCGAAATAATTGCGTCGCAGCGCGGTATCAATGGCGCGGTATAGTGACGCTGCTAGAAGAGCAGCAAGCGTTCGTATAGAGACTGCACATTTGCAAAAAAGGAGCTCTACTAGGCCACGCCATCAATC